CTGCCACATCGCTCTTCTCGCAGGCGCGGGCTAGCCAGCTTTCAATATAATAATATTTTCTTTTTAAACCCTAATGTACCTTTAATAAGAAAGTTATATACAGTCTCTCAGTTTAATATTCGGTCACCCTAATAAGTCGTAATTGATCTGAGGTAGTTTACGAACAACAATACATGAAGGACGAAAGGTAAATAAATGCACTATACAACTTTCGAAGTGCAATATTTTATCGCATTAACTGTTTAGAGCTCGAATGAAAAGTTGTATGTTTGCAAGTTTGCTCATAATGTCCATAAAGCTCCCCCATTTAACATAAGTTCACCTACGGAAATGATTTGTTGTGAATTATCCTATTAGCGCCGAAAATGCTGGGAGATGATGCGGCTACACATCAATGACATTCTAGCTTCGAGTTCGGGTCACTGCTCTTGTGCGATGAAAGTGCTTCAGTGGGCCGAAAAGAACGGAATACTGAATTTGACCAGCGATAACTAGTGATACTGAATCATGAAGAGACTTATTATACAAGACCAATTGGAAAAATGCTCAATCTACCGCAAAGTACACACCGCGACATTGTTAGTTGATACAGACGGAAATATAGAATAAAAAGTATAACTCAAAAGGGTCATACAGTGAGTCTTAGTGAGAGAGAGGGAGAGAGTGACGCCTAATTCTTAGGAAAGTGAAGTTCTCAATTAAGTGCTCAAGTAAGGAAAGTTCTCAATTATGTGCGCCGAAAATTGCTGCTGAGTAGTTAAAAGGATGTGAACAGAAAGTGCAGCCTGAAACGAGGCAAGGGCTAGGAAATGAATGTGGGAAAGTAGCGAGGAAAAAATCATACATAAGTGAAGCCAATAGGAAAAAAGGCTGAAAGTCGCAAACCAGTACGTGCAAAAGGGGCCAGCGTGTTGACGGATTTTAACTTTTGCAGACAAAAGCACGTTTACCTTGTGGTAAGCAGATGGCAGAACTAAAGTTTGATGCAAGTTAAACCAACAGAAGAAAAAACGAAATCTGAAGCTGAGTGTGAAGTACGGCGGATGCAGTATAATAGTGTGCAGTGCATATCTTCGTTTGGAGGTGGGGAATTGCGAGTTACGGAAGAAACGATGATGAAGGAAGCTTATCTTCGAATTCTCAAAGAGTGTTTTCACGAAAGTGATGATAAGCTCGGAATATGGAATACTTCAAATTTTATCAGCACAATTTAATCCAAAACATACAGCGTGTATTGTGCGCAACTGGCTTCTCTATAACTGCCCCAAGGTCTTGGAAACACCTCCGCAAACTCCAGACCTTAACCCAATCGAGCATTTGTGGAGTGAACTGAATGCCCGCTTACAAAAAAATAACATTTTGAATGATTGAAGAGGAGATTGGCGGAAGAATGGTGATCTGTAGACAGTTATTACATAAAAAATACTAGCACACCAAATCGATTGAAAGAAGTGATTTTATAGAAATGTTCTCCTATCAAGTATTAATAAAATAATAACATGTAAAAATTGTTGAAGTTAGAAGACTGACCGAATATTAAAATGATTGTTTAAAAATGTTTGAAATAGTTTCGTTTCATTCATGATATATTTTGTTCATTTTGTATTCAATTTTCTACAATAATAAAGTTTTGTAATCTTTATTTTTTGACCTTTGTATTACGTGAATACAATAAGAAAATTCTGTTGGGTGTAATGACGGAATATAAAATTGAGTGACTGTAGGCCCTTAAAGTATGTGTAAAAAAGAAAGTAAGTTATCTTTTCCTTTCTCGCTTTGTGGGTAATGTATGTCTTAGACAAGATCTAAATGTGGGTTCGTAGATTTACATTAACATTACGATGCTTCACCAATATTCCTAGATTTTGGAAATGAAGGAGTAACCAGACGTTTTAAAAAAATTATCACCTAAAACAAGCATTTTTTTCGGCCTAAAGGATTAACAAGTTACGTTCGATAGATTTCAGTTCTACGTAATAAAGGTAGTGTCCGATAAAATTGTCGCTTTATTATGATCTCGGATATGTATCTTCCAATACTGGAATCAAGGTGTTCAGCATACATTTCATTACCTGAGACGACTTGTACGAGACAACTCGCTGTAAAAATGAATTAAATCGGAAGAAATGATATTGAGGCTTCACCAGTAGTCAGTCTGTGCTGGCAGCGGAGGTAGCACGAGGACGTGCAAAGAGAAACCAACTCAGGCCGTCGTTGCAACTTGTGCAGTTGCTAGAAATCGGCTAGCCACGGTAAATTCAAGCTGCTGGGTACTAGAGCGTCCTCGCCAGTCAGATCACGACATGTGCCTGTGTACTTCACCGGTCTTTACTGCTACAGCACGTGACTGCATACATGTTTATAGTTTCCATTTGAGCATTATTGCATCAAGCCACATTGCATACTCGAATTTATATTATATGCTATGTGCAATCAACATAGTTTTCAACTGTGAATACCTACAGCTATTATGTTCACTCACGTTCCTCGATGTTAGTATAATTATTATTGTAATTAATTGTATATTTTTCTTAGTTCTAATTATATGCTTTTCCTCTTTAATCGAATTCTCTCAAGGTAATAGTGACTCTCTCTGTAGATGTAGACATTTAGAGGGGAATCGTCCATGTCGCATTAAACGGTGGTCCTCCGAGTTATTATCAAAGGTGCGCAAGGTAAGGGGGAAGAGGCTGTCTGTTGTTCATTCGCGGTATCTCAACAGTTAACGTTCCTCCACAGTCAGCCTCAAGCAACACCAAACTAAACTGAAAGCGACACATAGATAACAAACTAGTCATGCAAAAAATAAACATTTTACTGCTTAAACCATTAATTCAAGAAATACCTCCATACCATTCATTTCCTCCATGTTAATATACACAAGATCATAGGACATTTGCTAGTGTACCGCCTGCCCCATATGGATACGTCTCCAAAATGAACATGAATAAAATTCAATAACTCAGAATCAGATCCTTAGAACAATAGCCAACGCCCTATGGTGCGTTACCAATCTCCCACTCCATAAGATTTTAACCTCGAATCGTAATCACAGCACATTACTTATATTCACAAACTTTTTACTTCAGCCTAAATAAATCTCCTCCCTGGTGCTTTCAGACCGGCAAAATCCTATTCTTCAGACCATAATAAAAACAAATATCCCAACATTCATTTTTCATCAAATTCGCTGAATTTGAACCCGATTAGAGGCCCCATAAGGAACCCTTTCCATTGTAACAGTTGTAAGTTAATTATAAATTAGTTAATAAGAAATCAATACATATGTAAATTTATTAAATAAATAATCTATGTACAAGTCATCAAATACCAATAAATAAAAAATAAACCTCATTTCGGAAGTTGTCCTTCAAGTCGAATCTAGAGAATGACACTCGGTTTCAAATAAAGCTGCACAGAAGAAACACTGTCATAAACACTGTCGAAACACAATTTCATTTATTAGAAAAAAAATTACTCATTCGCAATGCTCAGTAGCTCTCATAACCCGAATTGCTCATGTTCGAATAATTCTGCCTATTTAAAGTTTGCAATTCACTCTTCTTTCAACTCATAATCATTTATTATATATATTGAGAGCTGTTTTCTGAAAGAAAGTTAAATGGTACTCGAGCGTGACTTTCAAATATGAATTAACCTAATTTTCATGTGCACTCACACTAAAAATAATGAAGAAATTTACCATCTAGAATTAAGATGAGACGTACGTTGCAGATGAATATACTTCTTTCATCTAAGAATTAAAAAAAGTATACCTGATCACGGCACGGTATACACCCAGAGCGTCCGCACTGTGTATATTAATGATGCTTTATTCACAGAAACTAGTAGTTTCTAGAGAGTCAAACGGTATTCGTTAACTTTTGAGTATGTGGTAATCCAGATAACGTAATGTATTCCTTTCGTAAGGAGGCAATCGGGCACTTATATTTGGATTTTTGGTGTCTGGTGATCTTGCAAGCTCCCTATAGTCCCCATGGTTAGTTGGGAACATCCTTTGGAACACCTAGAGGGGTGAGCAGCTAGGATCATCGGATTTACAGATCATGAAGCGCCTATAAGAAAAAAACAGAAACAAGTCATAATAGAAAATCATAAATGGCTGCATGCAAATCAAAGTTGCCTATGTAACCCTTGTTAAACGAGTGCTAGCCTCTTTTTCTTCAGAGCAGTTCAATTAAAAACTTTTCATAATTATTAAATTACTCGATATTAAATAAATTTTACATGATTAGCAATGAGAATACGTATCAGAAGAATACTTCAAATCAGTTTCAATTCTTCCAAGTAGAAGAAGTGGTTGTGTTTTAGTAAATCGAAATCTCGCCACAAAATCGCGAGTTGAAAAAAACCTTCGGGCTTCGCACTAGAGGATAACATTCCGAATCGTCGGTTAATAATAATAATCATTCGCAATCGTCAAGTAATAATAATTCTTCAAAAGTACATGCACATTGAAAACTCATTTACTCTCGAGTGAAATGGGGGTGAAACACTCGAAAAACGTACACTTATTTGGTGGTACTGGACCTAAAACGACACTCCGTTGTACAAAATTCTCGCCAAACTCTCCTAAGGATCCTGAAGTGTGAGGCGGTTTTTACGATACTCGAAAATAATAACTCAGTCGGAACCCTTCATTATATTCTAATGTAAAAACAATACATACAAGTGGCTGTAAAATTGGGGATATTTTTGAGAAAATGCGGAAAACTTCTCACGAGCTTCATGTGAAGACGTAAAAAATATATCAAATTATGAAAAGAAATTTTGAGAGATCACATGCAGACAGATGATGTAATTTCGTGAATCTATACAAACTTTATTTGAATATATTATTTTGTAGTCGCTCATTTAGAGATTTAACGAATGAACATCTGTACTACAATTAAACTACAGTAAAATTTAATATAGAATAGAATAGATCAGTAATATTAATACTCATTTTAATTTATTTTTGTTGATTTTTCATAATACAGATGGTTGAAAGATGCTAAAAACATCTTACCTTTATTTGCATTTCAAGTGTGGCTACTTACTTTCTGACACTTCATTTAATATATTTCTATTGATCATTCGTATTTAGCTGCAAGACGTTTTTCCGTCACTTACTATAATGAATCAATAATACATTTTGAATAGGTAGACATGACAATCTGATCGATGCCAAGCAGAGTTCAAAAGAAATGAGCTTTTCACTTGTAAAGCATAGAACTGCTGTGTCTCAAATATCCCTTTTTGTTCAAAAAACGTACATTATTTTATCCTGGTGTATAATGAGAAGTGAAATTACTTTTCAGTTCCTGTTATTGTTTTCAATTAACGGAATTCAAAGGTCGTGTTCTCATAGCCCTGCCTTTCTTCGAAGCATTGAAGAAGAAGAAGATAAGAAAACGAACACAAGTGACATAAACGAATCCTATGATGAATATTCGCAATCTTATGCTGAAACAGAGACGGATCATTTCTGGGTAAACAAGGAAGGACGTAAGGTTTTAGACGGATCAAGTTTTCGCTTGTTCAGAGTGTTTTATGAGAAGACCAAGATTCGGTTGAGGCTTGTGAATGCGACACAGCATATCATATTCGCGGATGACAATGGTAGCTATAGCGGGGAAATGGGACTGTTGCAAAGGGGGTTGGTGGATATAACATCCAATCCATACTATTTTGAATATGATAGATATCAATTTGCTGACTACTCTTCTGTTGTGTTCGATAATCCTTTCTGCATAATCCTTCCAAAAGCACATACAATTCCTCTGTTGGAAATATTGTTGCTGCCGTATCAACCCAGTGCTTGGTTGGTCATCTTGTGCACGCTCCTTGCTGCTGCAATAACTTGGTACATTGTGCGTCGGGTTCTCAGTGGGTATGAAGCCCAGCGGAGTGTCAAAACTGCAGTACTGACACGTGCACTTTTGGATGTTGCCCAAGTGGCGCTAACTGGAACCTGTCATAGACGTCCTCGTATGTATGCAGAACGCTTAACTCTGAGTAGTATTCTTCTCGTCTATGTGATATTGGGCAACGCTTATCAAGGTCAATTGTTAGGTTTCATGACCACACCAACTAGATCTGTGGACCCTCAAACTCTTGAAGAAGCTGCAACAAAACTCGAAAGACTCTACACCCACAGCATTTTAAAAAGCACATTTGAAAGTGCCGCGTTATGCGGTTTGCGCAAGAAAACAATATTAATTCCATACAGTGAACTTCGTTCAATGCTGATAAATCGATCTCACCGGCAAAATGATGGATTTTTAGTGGCAAAACTCTCCTACTTCTATTTATTTACACGTACACGTGTATTAGATTCTGCACAACGATTACATCTTGTTCACGAATGTGTTGAGGCATCAGGCCATTTAGGTTTTATGGTTCGTAAGAATTCGACGTTGAAAGAAATTTTCAACAACTTCTTAATGCGCATTGTTCAAGCTGGACTTATTGATGAGTGGAATGAAATGCAGACTTTTCACATGGGCATAGACGGAATATCAAGAAGAAAAATGGATCACCGACGCCCCTTGATTCTGGGTCAGCTGGCTGGGACATTTCTTTTGTTAGGCGGGGGTTTAGGAGCGGCCATTTTAGTTTTCACACTGGAATTGTGGACAGTCCGGTTTACTCCTTGCAAAACAGTGCCAATATTTATTTTATAATACGCTATACACACAACATTTTCCAGGATGTACGATTAAAAAATCTTCTCTCAGACTTTAGGCTACATTCTGCCTGGGACAAACAATTGCAATGACTCACGAGGGTGAAAAGTTGGAACTGTTATAATTTTTGACAGGATATTAAAATTAACGATTGTGTTTTAAAATTAGCTGATTAAACCTCTAAAGAAAATTTTAAAATACCTTGCAACTGCCAAAAGTGAAGAAATATTCTTGCAAATAATAGATTATATAGAAATTATATAGTATCAAATACAAGTATAGCATATTGAAGATATGAACTGAATTTGAATATTCAATACCAACTTTTAGAATAAAATGTAATATAATATTATTGATAATTTTGTATGAATATATATAAAAAATAAATTGATAACTAAGTGTGCTTATTATTTCTTGTACTAAAAGATATTCAAACATTAAAAAAGTTATTTTTACAATGTTTATAATAATCCATCGTCAACTTTTAACAACAATGATCAGTTTGGTAATTTAATAATGTTAAAACTTACCCACACAAATATGGCTTACCCACACGAAACACGGCTTACCCACACAAATAAGTCACGTTTCTGACGACGAATAATCAAATTTAAACTATAATTCGGAAATTATAATTCGTTTGAATTTTTACAAATTGGATAAACCTTATACGATGTTTGTATCGTAACATTTGATTACAATACACGATCAGAATAATGTCATGTTTTGATAGTTTTCAATCTGTAGTAATAAGATGTCTTACGATTCTTATGTCGTAAACAACAATTTATCAGGGAGAGAACTACAGGCCATAGAGAGCGTTCATTGGGTGTTTTTTCGTTCAAAACGATTTCGTATTTATTGATATTGCTGCAATGTCTTGAGTACTGAGTGTCATTAAATCCAAAATGTTTTTTTTCACATATAAAATATTTTTCGATTACATCGGGGTTGTGCAACCTAAGTACGAGCCACCACTGCAGGAACAGTATATTCCTGCTAACTTACTCTTCCTAAATGAATTTTCTCTTATTCTGTTACTGTTGATGTGGCCATTGTTTGGCGTGCCACAATGTCCAACAATTGTTTGAAACATGTGTTCTTTACAAAATATCAGTGATTGTAATTTCACGTAATGAATTACGTTTTTAAATTAAAGTGAAAAGTAGGATTTAGTTATATAGGTCACTTCAGGAGGGTTGAAAAAGAACAGTACTAAACTTCTGTAGTCCACTACCACATTCATGCTCAGATTGATGATTAGGGGTCAGATTTTAATGAAATGCAATTTTTTTCTTTTCACTTTAGAACAATGTCGTTTAGAAACTAATTTTATGTTAATCTAAAACGATTTGACCCATTTTTATAAGTCATTTTTTTACGCTTTAACGTCATTTTTAATGCATTTGTTTTGCTGATTTTTTAATTGATTTTAATATCATTTTTCTGGTATATACTTAAAACAATGTTTACGAGATACAACAAATGTTCACCACATAATTTCTGAGAAGCATATTCGATTTCTTGGCTCATGTATTATAGTGTCAGTCGTTGTTCTATATAATTCCTTTGACGCATACCGGCGTCATTGTAAGTTCGGCCGATTTCGCGATAAATAAAGGCAGAGATTTTGTTTTAAGGAACAGCCAAAAGCAAAAATTAGCCAGCTTAATTCATTTGAACAATACGAAGAACCTCGATTACATCAGTAACATACCAAACAACTTGAGTTGTTCATCTGAAGTAGATTTGATCAAATTGTTTACGTAATTTTTTTTGTTTTAGGCCATTTTAAAAGTATTTTAAGATCATTTTATTGATCATTTTTGACAATGTTTTAGGTCATCAAAATCCGTCCCTACTTATTATTATAAAAATTCAGTCATTGCAATATCTCGAGAAAATATCAACGCGCAATCAACATTTCTCATTAAAAATTTAATAATTTGGTGGAACCATTCTTTTTGATGAAATTAACTTACCCTCACACCTCATTAGATGGGATGAGAATGGAAAACAACCAAGATACAAAACAGCTTGAAAAAACTACCCAACTCAAGACACAGTGAAGTACACCTCAAAAAAGAACAAATAGTAGTAATAGTGTTGGTTTCTGTGGCAACTGTAGTTTAAACCACCTCTTTTGATGGGATAAATAATCTCTAGTATTGCCAGAAACCGAGAGATCAGGTGTCCATTGCCGATTGTTTATTTTTTATAGGTTTCAATTTTTAGCAAGCAGAAAATCGTTGGTATGTTTATGGTGTGCTTTTTCCCCCGATTATGATGCAATTTAACATTTGTTTTTGTTATAATTTAAATTACAAGTGTCTTTGGATGTAAGAAAAAAAGTACTACTCTGAAAACATTTTGTAAATACGTTAAGTATATTAAGTCTTAAAAAAATAATTTTATATATTATGTTATGAAATCACATAGATTTATTTGACATAAAAAAGTAATTTCTCATTTAATACAAATATTGATGAGATAAAATTGATAATTTTTATTTCCAGAATCTAACACTGAATAATGCTTTTGTTTAAAATAATGCAAATGTACATTTTTTATTTGATTTTATTTTTAAGCACAGAAACTTCATAGTCCGCACTTGCATATTCTGAGCTACATCAATTTCTTAATTATACAAAATATCAATAAAATAAAAATTTAACTGATGGTCTCTGGAGCCTCCCCTTCCTTGGTAATGCGCGGTATCATTTACTTATACATTTGTACAGCTAAGGTTATACGTTTTTGAAAGTGTTTTCCCTGATTGAATCATAATTAAATCTTGAATTTCACATTTCGGTTTGTAAAAGTTCAAACTTGAGGAGGAAACCAAAATAATGAAGTATAATTTTAAAATAGTTGTACAAACTTTTTTACAAGTAGTTTATCCCTTATTTACATTGGCAGTTCTGCAGATGACGGATCCAACGTCATAGATCATTTTTACCCAACATATCATATGAATTTTTGAAATTTGAAAAATTTCTCTCGGGAATTAGGTAGCACCTTATTTTCGTGGGAGGTTTGTAAGCAGCAATTTTAATATACTTGCATATTACTAACGAAATTACATATGTCTTCATAGTTTTAAGAACCAGTGTTATCCAGAAATATTATCATATACGGCAAGTCTGTACTATTCCAACTTCGGGATTCCTGATTAGGAAAGACGGCCAATGGGCTGCTGATTTTAGAATTACTGCCAGGAGTATGCGTTTCATGAGAGAACTTCGTGAACGACGATATTGAACGTGGGAAAATGATTTTCAAACAGCGCTGGTCATTTGAAATTGACGCCGATATCATGACTGAAAATGTCGATAAAGATACGTTCTCTAGGCATTTGACATCATTAGGAAAGATATC